ACACATACACACATACATACACATGTAAGCAAATATATGGATATAGATCCGACAGTATGAAGAAAAATACATGAAAAAACAAAAATCCGAATATGCAAATATGCTGTTTTAATGTTATTTCAATGTCGACGTCAGACGTTTCGGTCTAGTAGACCTTCTTCAGGGCATAGTTATTAAAAAATAATTAACATTAGACGATATTCAAGTCAACATTTATTCTGTTTTGATTCGTCTTACTCTTCTTATGTCTATCGTCTTTTCATGTTGACTTGAATATCGTCTAATAATTATTTTTTTTTTTAATACTATGCCTGAAGAAGGTCCTAGACCGAAACGTCTGACGTCGACATTGAAATAACATATTAAAACAGCATTTTGCATATTCGGATTTTTGTTTTTCCATATATTTTCTTTTTCTTCACACACACACACACACACACACACACACACACACACACACACACACACACACACATATATATATGTACAGACTATATTTAGACTACACACACATATAAATACATATATATACACACACACTATATATATATATACACACACACACACACACACACACACACACATATATATATATATATATATATATATATATATATATATCGTACAGTAAGTATTGGTGGTAGTGTTTGATGTATAATAACAGAGGTAAAATTTATATTAATTATAGATTTTTTTTATTTTTCCCCGTTTGGTTTCAGTTACGTGGCAACAGCAGAAGAGGATTGAAATTAAAAAAATTAATGAATAATTTCAAATATGTCTTCTTACTCTTCTTAATTCTTAGCAATCTACACATGTTTTTTTACAGCACAAATCCTTGAATACAGCCGAAATCACGCGTTACGAACACTCATTTAGAAATTTTTTTTTTTTATAATGACTATATATATTTAAAAAACAAAAACAAAAAAGAAATCTCTTATTTGTACAGATGAAAAAGAATATAAAATAATAATAATATATATATATAAAAAAAAAACCTTTATAGAAGTCATTTGTCAATCATTTTTAATTGAACATGTATTTAAGGAGACAGCTGTCGAAATACACGTTCTCAAGTTATCGAGCGTTATGTTTCGTTGGATATTTCAAATATCCTAACTCCATTAGTTAAAAAAAAAGAAAATTAAAATTCATTTATTTCTATAATTTTTTTCTCTCCCACAGCAGGGCTATTTCGTATTTTCTTAAGTATTAGACACAAAGTCCCCTAACTTATACGAGAACCTTCTTTCGAAAGGGAGATAGAAAAAGTGTGTTGAGGTTCGGGTCGATTATGTCGGAACCCTGCTTCGTCGGGGTAAATATATTTTCCTACTGACGCAAAGGTTCGGTAGTAAAACGCTAGTAAAAAAACCGAGATCTGGAATGTTAGACATTTTTTTTTAAGTCATTCTCCCTCGAAAGAGCCTATAACGTTGAAACAATATATTATTGCCACATCTATTTTTAAGCACATGCGCACTTGTGCTCGTATACACTTCCCTTAGAAAATATACATCTGCCTTATTTGGGTGCTCCATACATTCGGCCATGTGCCATACCTAAACTACTCAAAGTCAAACCGTTATCTTACTTTCTAATATCATATATATATATATATATATATATATATATATATATATATATATATATATAAGCAAATATAAATGGATATAAATCCGACAGAATGAAGAAAATATCTGGAAAAAACAAACAAAAAATCCTTAAAATGCGATTATGTTGTTTTAATATGAATGAAATGTCGACGTCTGACGTTTCGGTTTAATAACCTTCTTCAGGACAATATTCATTAAAAATACAATTAACATAATCAGTATAACACAACGAAAACGATGGACATAAAAACAAGTCTTATCCAAAACAGATAAATGAAAATTTTAAATGATCAGCTTTCCGTTTGAGCGTGGTCACGTTGTCGTCAAATGGGCGACGCTTTCACAACGTATTCTTATATATATATATAACATTATTTATCTAGCTAGCTAACTTAGAATTCGATTGTTTATATTCTCAAAAAGAAAATATTTCCTATATCGCCGTAGAGGTTATTAAAATCTGAATATTATACTGTCTTTATATTTTTAATTTTATGATCGTAATTAAAAAGATTTTATTTAATAAAAAAATTTACTCAATTATTTCGATAAAGGGAAAATACTTAGATATTTTTTTTCATAAATTACTCTTGCACACTAATTAAAAGGTACAACAAATTAAAAAAAAATATCTATAAAATATTAATAGTTATTTACTAAGTGTAGATTAGATATGGCACAAGGCTGAAAGTAGGGAGTACCCAAAAAGACTGATCGATCCGCACTGGGTGGCCCATGAAATTCGCTATAGTTAGGTCATTTTTCCTTATTTAACTTTATATATATATATATATATATATATATATATTGATTCATGTTTCAATAAATAATATAGAAAGTTTTGTCTATTTATTTTAAGTAAGTTCCTTTCATATTATTGTCTGATAAGCTTAGTAACATTATCATTGAAAGACGAAAGGAAATCACCATATTGACATGTTTCAATCCAATCTAAGCTTTCGGCTTACATAAGCCATTAGCAAAGATGACAGTTACTTTTCAATATATCAAACAATACACGGACAAAACAATAATGATAGTCTGTTTTTGTTGCTTGAAAATTTCAAAGCAACGACTAACGCGTGTATACGAGACGCGGGAGCGAAAATCGCGTCGCAGCTCGTGACGTCACATATGACCACGCGAGAGTGAAAACGAGAAGTATTAAGTATGGGAAGCCGTTGGTATAAACCAGTGGTTTCTGTTATCAATTATAGGCCTTCAAAAATATTTGTGGAGATTTCGTAGTTTATTTTGTTCAGGTTAGGTTTAAAAACTTGTCTATATTATTTAATGAAACATGCATCAACGAAAAAAATTGCTGCCTAAATATACATAACATATATATATATATATATATATATATATATATATATATATATATAGTAATTAGTAGGAGGATTTGATAATTATATTTAATTAATTCATTGAGTCTGATAGAAACCTCAACAGGAATGAGTCCCAATTATAGGACAGAAACGGCCGTCCAGTGCTTCCTCTATTCCTGTTGAGGTTTCTATCTCTCGAGTAAATATATATATATATATATATATATATATATATGTATATATATATATATATATATATATATATATATATATATATATATATATATATATATATATATATATATATGCTAATTGAAAAGTAACTCCCATTTTGAAATACTTGTAATTTATTTATTAACTCTAAATTTTACAAAAAATTGAGAGAAAAGCGTCTATGATGAATTTTTAGTTAAAATTCGATATGGCCAACAGATTTCTCTATCAGCTTCTTTAGCAGCCCAGGAATCGCGTCAACTGATTCCACCAGGAACTCTTCTGTAATGGAAGACATAACTTCTTGTATTCGCCTTTCATGTTCTTCCAAAGTCTTGGTTTGGTATTGTAGACTTGTTCCTTTAACCAACTCCAAAGAAAGAAAACACCGAATGTTAAATCATGACTCCTGGCTGGCTACTCATACATAAAACAAGGAGTTACTTTTCAATCACCATATAATTTATGTGGCTGTGTGGGTGTAATTCTATGCATTTTGCCGAATAAACCCTTTCTTCAAGTTCTGGCATATATAGCTATGTTATGGCTCAAGGTTTGAAACATTACAGTTAGTCATGTGCGGAATTAATAATAATAATAATAACTTTTTTTAAACAATTCAATTGTGAGATTTAATAATGCATCCGGGACATTTTTTTCTTGAAAAGTTAAATGGAACTTGTTGAATAAATCGTTCTTTCCCTGCTAAATATGACTGTCCCCCTGTGTTAAAACCCATACTTGACATTTTCGGTATATTTCAAAACTGTATTCTCAGAAACTAAATTAATGACATTAAAATAAATGTTACATGGTTATTTCCACTTGACGAGTCGCTTTGAAGTCTAGAGACAAAGTTGTAAAATAGAAATGAAGATGAAAGCCATTCAAAGCCCAGCTATTTATGCCAACAGCAAATTATTACAAAAAAAAAAAAAAAAAAAAAAGAAATATTTCCCATGTTCTTTGGAAGGATAGGAATAATGTCGAAAATAGCGTTTCAAACGCATCAAAGGCATGTTTTTCTAATTAGTGTGTTTTTTATTCACTAATTAATCTTTAAAAGAAATTGAACATATTTGTTACCCACTTCTTCCTATTTGTAAATTTCCACACTTTGCCATTAACATTAACGGCTTACGGCCATAACACGTTGAAATACCGGTTCCCGTACGGTCACCGAAGTTAAGCAACGTAGACCCTGGTCAATACCTAAATGGTGTTGTAAGCTTCGAGTGAAGTAAAGAATGGCTCGGAATTGTTAATTGGAGAACCGTGTTCTAATTCCCGTTAGGTTCGTTATATTAATTTACATCCAGCTACCCTTGATAAAGCTATGAGTTCACCTCTTCTCCCCAGAGTAGGGTTCATTAGTAAGTCTTGTCTCAATAAAAACATTATTTTCTTAAAAAAAAAAAAAATTTACAATCTAAAAATATTTTCTGAAAAGGTTGATAAGCCATAAAAAAGAACCAATCAATATTAATCATTCTTTAAGTGAGTTTAAATTGAGATTCCTCTTGAAACAGACATCTAACTAAACACCTTAAAAAGGTCAACAAGTTGGTTAGTTGTTTAATGGCATATCAACACCTCTATGGGTTATTTAATGCCGAAATGTAAATATTCTGTAAGCAACTTTTTTTTGTGGGGGAGATAATAATGATTTACTGATACGTCTTACTATTTAACCCATAGCTGGGAGAAGAAGAGATGGATTCATGCCTTTCACAAGAGTATTTGGACGTAAGTGAATATAACGAACCCGACTGGAATTGGAACTCGGCTCTCCGATTTACAATTCCGAGTCATTGTCCATTACACCACCCGCACACCCAAGCTTACAGCACCTGGTATTCCCAAACGGTCACCCATCTAGGTACTGACCAGGCTCGACGATGCTTAACTTCAGTGATCGTACGGCAACTGGTGTTTCTATATGATATATCCGTAAGTCCTTTATACCACCCGCGCATACAAGCTTAGAGCGCCTGGCATTTCCAAGTGGTCACCCATCAAGGTACTGACCAAGCTCAAGTTTTCTTAACTTCAGTGATCGCACGAGAAACGGGGGGGTTTCAATGTGATGTGGCCGTAAGTTGGGTTAGCAAGTAAAAAAAGCCTCAAAATATATTTAGGCTGAATTATGTTTTTTTTATTATTAATATCTTGAACTTGAAAAGAAGTTCCTATAGAATAATTTAGTTTACACGAGGGACTCAGTGTTCAATGATTTATGTTTGAAGATTATCAGGTTTTGTTAATGGTTTCACTATTTTGTTGATATTCTATTTTATTTCATAATAGATTTTACTCGTTTTGAGCCAATATTGGAACGAAAGTCATTGACAATAAATGTCTATAAAGAAGAGAGTTCCATACTTCCAAATTCCTGATGGTCAGGCAGCTCATCAATATGGAACGTAACGCTTTCATCTCAATGGAATATTGGGAAAAGTTTGGAAAAAATGAATGCTGTCTTCTCCAAGAAGAACAGGGCTTAATGAAATTCAGTTCAGACACTGATGAAGAAAAATGTTTCATTTAATGCTGATCTGGTATTCCGTTAGATGACGATGTCCACCACGAGGCACTGTTTTTAACGGCTTGTAAAATCAGTTATTGTTGATCCAAAAATAATTCACAAGAACCCTTAAGTACTATCTTAAGTAGATCTTGTCTAAGAAAAGGTTTCATTCTATTTTAGCTGATCCAATTCTTCTGTTGTGTAAGTGAAATATATTTATTTGGTAAGTGTATTATTATTATTATTATTATTATAACACTTCGTGAAGAGAACATTTTCAAAAAAGCAAAGATAATGTTTGACAATACTGTCAAATTATTGTTGAACATTGTCAAACACTGTTTTTTCTTTTTCTTAAATCGCGGTCTTTAAGTATTGAAACATATTGCAAAAGATACGTCAATTATTATTATTAGCCTATTCCTTAATTAGTGCCATGACTTCAGATAAATAATGGACCATTCCTGTTTGATTGCAAAGATAAACAGGAGAAAATATATACCAAAGGTAGCATTTGGTTTCGGGGAAGGAACGGAAAAGAAAGAAAAAAAGAAAGTAAAAATAGAAGGGGCGATAAAACAATCATGAATTTATCGCCTGCTTCCGTGAAATGGAAAACCTTATCAATTTAGAATTGTTTCAGTTGTACCCTCTTACTTCTGTAAATAATGACCTGCATTTATATTGATGACTTGTAATATCTTAAAGTTGTTAGGCTCAAATATTTAACAAGGCAATATGGAAATTTCCACAGGCATTTTATAGTCGTGGAACTCGTAAAGAGTTTATTCAATCATTGCCTTAATTCTTGAATAATCTCATTGTGAGAAAAACAGAAAATTCATCAGAAAATTCGAATACCATATAATTTTCAAAATACATATAATTTTCAAAATACATATAATTTTCACCTTTATTTCTAGTTATTGTTAAAACTTAATTAGAAAACCAGATATTATGAAACAGCCATGGAGTTTAGTACAAACCATTACAAGTTTCCTGTTCTGTTTATATGGACATTGAGCTAAAGTACCAGTCTTGACACTTGAATATAGAATTCATACAAAATTGCAAGAGAAGCAAACAGATGCTGGATCAAGTACCTTGGATTCAGAAGTTTTCTTTTCAAGCTGATTCTGAATTTAGAACTCATACCATTCACCAATCAAGTGTGTAAGCCTCAAAGACAAAGGTGACTCATATTAAAAAGAAAATGATGATGATTTGTACAGGGTTTTGAAAATCAATAACATTACTTAACTATTTATTTCCAATATTTTGAATTGATTTATTTAATTGCTCGCATTGCTTTCTTTCCAGAGACCATGTCAAGGCTTCAGTTTTTATTGCAATGGTTTTATATTATTCAGAGGTGTAGCAAAGGGAGACAATTTGCCCCTGGGCGCAAATATGAAGACTCACAAATTGTCATCTGGCGAGAAAAGTTCATCTATCTCCATAATGTAGTTAAATAATATATATATATATATATATATATATATATATATATATATATAATGTATATATATATATATATATATATATTTTAAATATATAAACCTAAATAAATCTATAAGATTTCGTGTTGTTTTGTTCAGTTTCTTTCATAGATGGACGCCATCGCAAATGAATGGCTTTCCAAGGAAGTTCCAGAACTCAAAATGAGAGACAATGGTGATATTAGTTGCCGTTTCCCTACAAGGAAACATTTAACTGTCATTGATTGAACAGCCAGCACTGTTTTCTGTTGACATTTATAAAATATTTCTCTTAAAACATTTTTTTTTTTAATGAAAACAGCATTTTAACAGCTGTTACATTGAAAAATAACATTACTTGATGGCATGGATTGCAAAACAATTATGTCAATGTATTTATATAAGTTTAATTTAATTGGTTCTAGTTTTACAATTGTGATATTGTATTTTTTTATTTTTAATCTTTTCTGAAGTTGTAATTTATTCTTTGTTATTATTATTCAAATATATTTATATAGCAAAACATTTCAAGGGTATATCAGGTTTGGGGTCATCAAAACTTTATTCGTTCATGGGCACTGAAAAACCCTAATATGCCAATGATTTTATTATTATTATTAAGAGAAAAGTTTCAATGTTTACACATGGCAATATATCAAGTAAAAATAATCCAACTAATTTTTATTTTAATTTTTCCAGATAGACAGAAGTTAAGTACCCCATCCTTAAAAAGCGATTCCCTAAAGGATATTCTTAATATAACCTCCCAACTATTTGAAATAAGTATAAAATGAAACCAGAAATTGCTTATTTGGATAGGTAACTACAAGGGTACCAGATTCCAGCTTTGATTTCTTTTAAAATATCAAAGTTTAAAAGTTGGCAAAATTATCCAAATAGTCAAATAAGGAAACAAAAATAGGCAATTTTGAAGACATCAAAATAAATCAAACACATTTTAAATAATTACTCAAACACCCCTAGAGTTAATGTTGACATATAATCCACACAGTTAAAAAAAAGAAAAAGAAAGAAAAAAGACCGAAGCTCTTTAACTGACATATTGTGAAGCTCTGAAATGTTTTTTTTTTATATATTTTAGCATTTTTGTATATTTATAGTCTATTGTAAGAGAAAAATACGAATGATACACCCAATTTGGTTACATTTTTAAAATCTACAGAAAATTTCAACACTAGAATGTTTCAAAACTACACATGGCATAAAAATATATAATCTACGAAGGTCAGAATTTAGACGAAAGTTTTCTCCGGCAAAATGCATAAAGTAATATGTAAAATATTTTAACTTTCAAAACTCTTAGAAATACAGACCTAATATTTGGAAATTTTCCATCACTTTGGTATATAGGAAAACATGAGAATTTTTTTTCAGCATTTGAAAGGGTGATCTGGGAAAATTTCCTAAAAAAAAGGGTGATATGATATGGAATAACTATGTCCACTCTGTATATATATATATATATATATATATATATATATATATATATATGTATGTATATATATATATATATATATATATATACTCCAGCCATATTGGGTAAAATATGGCGCTGTTCTTCATGTTGAAAAAGTTTTTTGAACGTGTTGACGGCAGTGGATTTTATCCGCTTTGTAAAAATAATCTCCAACGTAGAGAAGGTTAGCACGTTTTAAACGTACTTCGCATGTAAAAGCAATATTCAACCATTAACAGATATCCAATAATTCAAAAAGTTTAGGTGTGACTTTGTGAAAAAAAAAAAAAAAAAAAAAAAAAAAAATGAATAAATCATATAAAATAAAATATTCCGCCATTTTGGAAAATAAAAGAAAATAAATTTTTTTGGTAAAAAAAGCTTCCGATAAAAGATGTGAACATTTTTTTTTCCTTTCCAATGAAATGTCGTTTTTGGAATACAATTAATATAAGTAAATTACATTCGTATATCAGTAGGTGTGTATGGGTTTTTGTGTGTTGCTGTATGCCAAATAAATGACAACCTGAAACCACGGAGGTGGGGGTAGAGTAGGAGAAAGAATACATAAAAATTTAATTCTTTGAAACAATCTTTGTTCATTTTCATTACAAAACTGCACGCTCAGAAAGACTTAAAAAAATATAGACATATTTGTAAAAAGTAAACGTACGTTAGATACATGCATACATAGAATAGATATTTGTGTGTATGTGTGTGTGTGCGCGAATACGTAAATGAGTTTTTTTTATGATATACATCCACACTGAAAACACATGCGTACTTAAAAAGGTCTCACACAATATATTGGTGTTTGTTTTATCAAAAAAGATCCTTTTTTTTTTTTTTAAACGAAAAATATTCTCCATCTGCTTATTTCTTCTGAACTTGATGTTCTTTTGGGGTTTGTGAAGTTAAAAAAAAAAAGTGGTGGGGAAGAAAATGAATCAAACCTCTTTGGGTTTTTTTTAATGTTGTTATACTGTCAAATTTTCGTCTCTACTGTTTGAAAACTGTTGATTGGGGGGTTAAGCATGGAACAGTAGCGTCGAGAGAGTGGTGGAGCTAAATAGTAGTAGTAGTAGTACTATAAGGTGATGTGTCATTAACTTTATAAATATAGACGTCAATGCAGGTTTGAGAACGATATAATAATTTAAAACATTCACGTTCACCCTCACTGTCATCCATTTTTAAACTCATTTTGTAGAGCATGATTGCCGCACAGTCGTGGACATTAATATGTAGTCTTAATTTTACATTATGTGTGAAAAAGTTAAGTCATCCAAAATGATTCGTATATCCAATATTGGACCCCCAATTTCTATGTTATTTTTTTTTAACCATTTGGGATGGAGAGTAATATCAATAAATAAATGTCTGATTTTGAAAGTGCTGTAATATTGTTAATTAATGTGTGAGCGTGACATTTACTATTTACTAAAACTTTTAACTTTCTTACTTGCTAGGGCTATTGCTCGTATTGTATTATATATACATATATGTGTATATATATATGAAGTAGTGATGTGTAAGTTAAGAGACTATATATGCGAGATGTAATCAGTCAACATGGCTATACTTAACTACAAGTACACGATTTAAATTGTTTGTACAGCAAGTGGTAATGAACAAATTCTAAGCATTGCTATGACCAGCTTTGTATGTATCTTACTGCTAGCATTCCTTCCTAACAGTCAACTAGGAGAATCAGCCTGAAAATGGAGGCCTAGAAAAGTAGGGGGAGGCAGATATGAAGCAATGGGCGTATGGGTTAATGTAAAAACCCGTAGGAGGAAGAAAGAAAAGTAAATTTACGTGGAGTGGGGAAAGTAAAAAATTAATGATGTATTTTTTTTTTTTTCCTTTTTTTTTCTTTTTTGAGGTCGGTCCCTTAAGCCTCCAGCCTAGTATACCCTCGTTGGCCGTTTTGAAGAGCCACCCAGGTGCACGCGTTGAGATTAATACGTGTGCAAACGCCATAATGGGAAAATGAATCAGACAAGTCATTCAATACAACATGTTCTTCTTTTCTCTTTCTTCCAAGCAACTGCTACTTTCTTTCTCGACTACGAACTCCTTTCCCCCCCCGCCTTTCTTTCCCTTTTTTTTTCTTTCTTTCTTTCTCTCTTTCTTTCTTTCTTTCGAATCCCCGGCTTTTTGTTCAACGTCTTCTCTACTTACAATTTGATCGCATGTCATTACCTTTGGTAATTTTATACACTTTTTTTTTCTCCCTCTTTTTCGTCACGAGTTTCCCGCCCCTTCTTTCTCTCCACCAAGTTTGTTTTTTTTTTTTTATATATTCCGTCACTCAACCCCTCTATCTGTTTTTTTTATTCCTCCTCCTAACTGTTTTGCTAGCTAGCCAGCCGCCTTACACTCCCAATTCTGCTCACACAATCATCTCCACCTCCCGCCGTTAACAAACGCAAGATAAATCTCCTTGCTTTTTCTCCTCCCCCTTCTCCCTCGCTATTTTATTTTGGTATTTTTTGAAAGCCTCTTATCTTTTTATTATCAATCACAACTGCTACTACTGTTACTACTACTACTTTTGCAGTTAACGACCCCCACCCCCCTCTAATGAAAGTACACCCTTTCTTTCACCGCTATTGTTTCTGCTTTTCTTTTTCTCTTTCCTAAGCCCTTCCCTTCGAACGACCTTGCCTGATAAACTCTTCCCACCGCGTATTCATTCTCTTTAAACTTCTTTCTCTCTGTTCAGTGCAGAACCAGTTTGAACTTTTAGTTTAATTCCTCTCTGGCAACTGTGTATTTAGGCAATCATTAACATATACCTTCAAGGTATGGCTCTCCACGACTTCATTTCTTTTTTAATAGCGAAGAACAGTGGAGCACATGATTTAAAAAAAAAAACATAATTAAGTTGTCTTTAAAACTGAACTTGAATAAATACAATTACATTATTACAAAATAAATTAAAATTAAAAAATAATTAAATTGTCTTTAAACTGAACTTAAATTTGACTAAATCGGAAGCAAACGAGTGTGGCTTCAGCAACTGAAAGAGAAAAGAAAACGTAGAATCAAAAACAAACAGTGAATTAAATACGTTATTTTATATTATTAACAGACTAGAATTCTACTGGTTTGATTACAGTGCTTCCTTAAACAAATCCCAAGTACAAAAAATGAAAAGACTTGAGTACATGTTAAAATATTAACTTGCTTTACGGGCGACTTCGGCGTGTGATCTACATATCAAATATGATTTGAGAAAGTGTACATTAATATTTAATTTATAATAAATAAAAATGAAGTAGGCTTTACTTGCAGCAACCTTACACGTTACGATGAGGAAGACAGACAAGGAATACTTAATTTTTTATTTAGTTTTTTCAGCATTCTTAGAGTAAGGGATTCTCAGAATTGTGCATTATCCTAAGCGACCTCATCTTTAGCCCTTTTTCAGTTAACTTTGAGATGTTATTAAATTCTCTTCATGTTTGACTGTTTAAGTGTATTTTTGTATTGTTTTGAAGCGTTCATTCCGAGATTCGCGTGTTGAGCATCTTTCTATTTTTAAAAAGCTTTCCACACACCATTACTACTGTTGAATAAGATGAGGTTGATATTGGGAGCGAGATGTTTTATATATAGGTCCTCTTACTTGCCTGGCACATGTCGGAGAGTATCCCCCAGACGAGTCACGTCTCGGGAAACTGACTCCGTGTTTACGAGGTCTACAAGGAGTTATTTGCCCGAGCCAACGCTCTCGGATACCCCACGATAAAACTCAGCCTTGTGCCACATCTTGCGACGTGGGGCTGTGGGTAAATACCTATATAGGTCCTCTCTCATAGCGAGATATTTCCAGTAATGTGATTTATATAA